TTTTTCACCTTTTCAAACGGTCCCCTGTGGTCTAAATGAAACATCTGTGCTGTGCTTTGGTCAAAATATAACATGAATCAAGCACCAGAGGAGGTTTGTGACCCTGTATAAACCAGCTCTCTCAGAACGCTCCGTTTTGGTGTGTGTGTCTCTTTAAATGCAATGTGACCCCCCTGAGTTTTCCTGGTAGACATCACTCCTCTGTAGCAAGAATAAAACAGTGTTGATCTCGGCTGGGGGTGGAGTCCATGTGTGGAGATACCAGGGCAGGGGAGGGTATTTTCTTTATACCAGACACCCACTGTGACATCACAAGGAGAGAATATTTGAAACGGAGCATTTTTCTCTGTGTTGTAAGACTTATGCAGACCACAAACAAAGGACTGGATGGGTTTATTTCACATTTTGTGGGTCGGTTGACACTCAGGTTACCCAAATATATGTTCAAAAACACTGTAAAAGTGGATTTTTTTATAATATGTCCCCTTTAATTTACTTTAGAGTTTAACCTAAAGCCATTCAGTTTCTTCCAATGTTGGTCATTATTAGATTTCCTCTCACATTGGCAGCATTATAAATGATATGTCCTGATAAATACTGATATATTTTCCAATATAGTAAACATATATTGTGCTCATACGTTTTCCCTACTTTATCCCTAAGACCCAGAAGGAGGTGATATAAAAAATAGAAGAGCAGAAAGAAGGCGTGAAAGAGGCAACATTAAGGCAACGGTTAATGGAAACTGGATCAAGATGAGGTTGGTTTAACTTAGAAAGTGAATGTTCATGATGAGCTGATTAAAGTAAAAAGGTCTAGGAACAGAAAGAGAGAAAGGGATAGAAAATGTAAATGAAATGGCGAGCAGAAAGACGTTTTTCCAGATTGAAACTCTGCTATGTTCATATAATGTACACACACAAACACACATTTTCCCACATTTGTATCATGTCACAATCATCATCCACAGTGTGACACAGTCCATGTAGGGAAGCATCGTGGGGGAAAAAAAGACTCTGTACAAAAGCTACATGTAGCTCTGGGTGTGAAGGAGGAGGAGCTGAGGGGTGGAGTCGCCTCACAGCAAATACTTGGATGTGTTAATGTTATTTTTTCCAGAAATGACCAGTCCACTGTGAGTTTTTGATGTGGAGAAAAACGCTGCAAATTCTGAAACACATGCAAAAAGTCCAAAACAAATGCAATGGTGAAACACGCTGCAAACGCATAAATGATGCAAAGACAAAAAAAGCACAAACACAGAAAACAAATGCAAAAGAAAAAACACTACAAATCCAGACATCCCAGCTGAAGTGCTGCGAGGCCTGCATGTGGTTGCACTCAGTGAAAAGGTTTGATATGCACGGGAGGGAGAGTCTGGATTCACAGCGTTTTTTCGTTTGTTTGTTTTTGACTTTGTTCACTGTACATGCAGCTTTCCCTTGTTTTGAACTTCTGCATGTGCTTCTGAATTTGCGGCATGTAATGGAAACAGTTTGGGCTGTTTGCAGCATGGTTGCCCTCGTTGGCCACCGAAGAATAGACTTGTGAGAAATCCGATAACTGCGGGGTGGTTTTGGTTCATTTTCAGTGTTCACATGATGACACCCAACAGTGCTGTATTTTTAACTCAGTGCTGAATTGCTGCCTTTCAACTCCCTACTGCCTCATCAATATCAAAGCTCATTAATGAGAAAGCTGTTAAGAGAGAGAAAAAAAAAAAACCTCACAGAGTGGTATTCTATGTTCACATAAAATTAAAGATTTTGAAATGTTTGACATGGTGAAAATCAAAATCAACCAATAACCATAAAGCAGAACAGTTACCTCCAACATTTATGCAGAAGTAGGCAGAAATTTACGAGAAAATGGATCCTCTGGTAATCATCGACATAACTGTTGATTATCAACGGATCCTCATGGTGGAAATATTTGTTTTTCAATTAAAGGAATAGTTTGGGATTGTAGTGAAGTTGTATGAGCTACTTATCAACAACAAGTGAAATACAAACAGTAATCTACTGCTGATACAACCCCACTCTGAAAGAACGTCAAAGTATCCCTTTAACCTCCAGACAGTTGTTTACTTTACCCCGAGGAAATACATCTGGCAGCATTATGGCTGTTGTTGTAAACAGCTTCACGATCACAGCAGAGGGCTCCCGTCTTATTGCTACATGTTAAGATGCTTTGTTGCTACAGATGCTAACCAAACCCTGAATAATAGCAAACACTCATTGCACTGCTTTTCATGTTCAGCCTGGATGTTTAGTCAATCAAAAGGACAGGAAAGTTGTTGAGTTTCCCAAACAGCTGAACACCCTCAGAGTTCAAATTACTTTAGATCTGTTTCCAAGGGATCCAACATTTTTCACACTGGACCATATTTGTTAATGGAAATTCTCCAGTAAATCTGCTTGGTTTGAAAATGACAGGTTTACTCGTGAGGTATGAGCTCATAACTTAACTATAACTCGTGATTCAAAACTGACCTCAGTAAGAAAAGAGAGAAGGATTGTCCATTCATGTGAGCAGCTTCATTCTGACACACAAACAGATGAAGAAGTCCTGAACAGGCTGTGTGTTTGGACTGAGTCTGTTCAGTTCATTTGGCAGGATCCAGGTCTTTGATGACGGGTTCTCTGTTCAGGTAGGTGGCCCAGTAGACCAGGTTGAAGCTGCTGAACAGCACAGGGAACATGATGCGGGATATGCGGTCGATCTTACTGACGCTGTTGAAGGTTTTCTTGTTCTGCTCGGGCTTGGTCTCAGACGTGTTCTTGTTGGTGTCGTTCAGAGCGCACTTGGAGATGGTCGGCAGCGTGGAGTCCTTGGTGATGTTGGGAGCGTAGTTGGCCACGGCTACAGCGTACGCGTTGTTCTTCTTCATGATGGCGGCTTCTTTTTTCTGTCGGGACAATCACCTCAGGGTTAGACTCATTTTGAACTCAGTATTTATGAATGCAAAGTTGATACTACAGTGCAAGTTAAATACACATACTGTAACTTTACTGTAATGGCAGCCATGATACAGGCGGCTCCAAATGTGCTAAATGTAATTTCTCGTTGACGGGGAAATCTGGGTCTGACTTTCACAAAATGTAAGGTGTTAATGCGTCATCTATATTTGTAAACCGTCCATGATTTGACTAAAACATATTTCTGCTTTATATCCGTCCTTAAAAATTGAGTGGATTGGTCCGTAGTGATCTTTGTTTACATAGAATGTATGTTTTGTATACTACAAATATTCTCTGTTTTAGGTCTTTCAAAACTAAATGTGCTTTGTCTGGATTTAGTCCATGCTGACCCTCCACTCCCACACTACCATCCTGATCAAATAATCAAGAAGCCTCCCCCCCCCACCCTGACTGTGAATGGTTGTGATGGACCCTTCCAGAGGAGCGTGTCTCAGCTCTATACCTTGTCATTGACGACACTCTTCCCGTCCCACGCCCAGCCTCTCTTGGTGAAGTAGTTCACAGTAGCAAACTCGATGAGCGCCGAGAAGACGAAGGCGTAGCACACAGCGATGAACCAGTCCATGGCTGTAGCGTAGGCCACTTTAGGGAGCGAGTTACGAGCGCTGATACTCAACGTAGTCATTGTGAGGACTGTCGTGACACCTGAAAGAGACAACCAATCACAATCACACCACCAACATAACTGAAAAATAGAACTCTGTGTGGACAAAACATTTTAAGACATAATTGTGCAAAATGTCAAATCCACGGTATAAAGCTCTAACACCAAATCTGCCACAGTGAAATGAAACAAAGGGAAGATTACCAATCATAAATTAGGATGAGGAGGCGGAGCTTATGGAGGCTGTTTCAGAGACAGACCCCTAACCAGAGGCTTCACTCATCGCTGTGTGAAGGGAGACACTAACACAAATAGGTGGACTCTTTAATAATACGAGCACTGCAGGCCGAAAGCAGGGTTACAACACGTGTCAGATAGTGTACACACACACACACACACACACACACACACACACACACACACCCGCACACACATGTACCAACTTATTGGAGCTGCAGGTCATGTTTAATAGCTTTCTATCACACAGTGAACACGTCAATACCCACGGTAAGAGGATAATGTGCTTCCATTTTGAGGTTTCTTTCCCCCTTATACACACACACACACACACACACACACACACACACACACACACACACACACACACACACACACACACACACACACAGATCAGACCTCTCGTCTTGAAGAATCAGCATTGTACATTTCTTTGTAATATTTCCATATATTCAGACGGAATGTAAATCCCTGCATTTGAGTGGTGACTTGATATCTTGTTCTACAGAAAGATCTCTGCTGCTCTGGCATCTTTAATCATTAATCACATGAATCTGTCCTCCCTACCTTTTATTTTACTGTCTCATAAACTGTCCAGCGATTGATTTTACATCACTTTACAGGAACTATAAAAGCAGCATTTGCAGCATGCTGAACAGTTCGACAAATGCAGAACAACAGGATGTCGAAGATTAGTCTTTTCTTTCTTTGTGGAAAGTTTGAATAAAATGTTGAATTTCAGAACTCACCAAAGACAGTTCGCGCTGGCACAGACTCTCTATTGAGCCAGAAGGAGACCTGTGAGAGGATGACCGTCATGATACAGGGCAGATACGTCTGGATGACAAAGTAGCCAATCTTCCTCTTGAGGTGGAAGTGAGCCATCATGACTGTGTATTCACCTGAGGATGAAGAGGGAGATAAAACGCTGAGCAAGCATTGGACAACTTAATCTTTTGATGAGAACAGAGATTACAAGCTACAGAAATTATAGGTGTCACTCGTGTTATATGTATAATGCATCCATCATGAAAGAAGGGATCCAGAGAAATGAGGAATAATCTCTCTGATTTATTAATGTGTCTAACTGTTCCTGGTGGAACAAATAAACAGGCCGCACAAAGTGTTTCATTATGCAGAGGCTGAGCTGTGTTTGCCTGTCAGACGTCGCTTTGATCACTCAGTGTGTTGCTTCCAGCTCCTCTGTTTTTGTGGAAAATAATAATGGGGGGGTTTGTCTTTTAGTAAAAGAGTCCCTTGGTTGCTCAGTACTGAAAATGATCCTTCTGTTGAGCAGTCCAAGGTCACTTTCACACAGCACTCCTGAAGAGTTTCTGAGACTTTAGAGGTGAGCTGCATGGTGAAATATTTTACCCGACTTTTTCCTGCCAGCCACTGAGTGAAATTTCTGCAAAAGATGTGAGGTGACCTGCTATGTGCAATCTCAGCAGGAAAGCAGGTAATGATGAAGCAGCTTCATACTCTTTTCTTCTCACCAGTACTCTGTGTTCTCCTTTTCTGATACTGTGAATATGTCCAATCACACCTAGTGTGGATGTGAAGGTAAAAACTGTTATCCGAGCATTACTGTGGCTTCCACTGCACCCCTTTTAGTAATATATCACGTTTATAAATGGAACATTTCCATTGTGATAGGCCTACATCATAACGGTGGACGCACTCTGACCTTTCAACTGATACCTCATCTGGCCAATTAAGACCTTCCAATCACCAATGAAATTCTGAACATGTGGAGACACGGCTTCAATAAATGACTTGCATCAAGAAAGCCAGAATAGCGTTTCTAATGGCAAGAGATCTGTGACAAATGCCTGCCTTATTTTAACAGATGTACGCTTGTTTTGAGGACTTTTGGAAGAATTCAACACATTCGGAAACTGCAACGTCTCAGCTTTCAAAAGAGACGTTATTTGTGCTTGTCGTCCAAACTGTTCAAGAACAGCATCCAGTTTCCTCGGGGTATGTCAGGATAGGCGTTTTAGGCACATTGCTACAGGATCCGTAACTAATTTGTACTCAAATATTCTTAAACCAATGATTCATGGCCAGTCTCTAAATAGAAAGGTCGTTTTTTTATGGAGGGATGGGGGGGATCAAGCTTTGTTATTTCACAGCTTTGGCGGTAAACAATTCCTCCTCTATCCAACCGGAAACCTCTCCCGTTGTCAGGGACGTTTAATGAGGCAACTCAGGGTGGTTTCAACGGCAGGCTGTCCTGAAACGTTACAGAGTCAAGAGTGAACTTGAATCAAGATGTGTGAAAATGGTTGCAGACTTTATGGTAAAAAATGTTTTAATTGTTAGAAAACCCAAACCTGTTTGTCTGACTTGAAATGTGTGCATGATGCTCACCTGTGCTGGATTTGATGGTCTCGTTCCCCACAGTCTGACCCATCAAGTCGTACTGGTTGAGTCTGGATCCATCAGGCGCTACTTCCACAGACTGGGAGGCGTTACGAGTCCAGATGTAAGTAACCTCTGTCTTCGTGTAGGCATCTAATGGGCAGAGAGAGTGAGGAGACGCCGATGAACACACAGATTATGTAACACTCCGAGCAGTTTATTAAGGTTTAAATGACAGAGATCAAACAAGCACCTCCATCAACTCCTACACAGAGAAGCACTCATGATGAGGGGGTTTCCACTTTGTCTCAGATTCTCTGTTTGGCTTATTACTGTGTGTTGGGTTCATCCTACTTTGGTCTAATGTGTACCTGTGCGTTTCCTTATTATGTGCCTTTGACTAGTTTGGATGCAAACCCAACTAAGTTGAAGGAAACATATTAAAGCCAAAGTTAACATAACATAATAAGTTAAAATGACTCTTAGCCATTTAGCTGTTTTCTTCCACCTGGTTTCTTTGTGTGAAAATGATTGTATAACCTTAACCCTTAGCACAGTTATATTATGAACATCAGATTTTTCAGGACAACCCAGGCTATCAGAATATGACTGCTGCAATGATGCCTGATGACTGTTTTAATAGTTATACGACCATGAAGACAACATAAAAAACTAAATGGAAAGTAAATCTCCCAGAACTTTACTCTAATCACTGTTACCAGAGTAACAGTCGTCACATCACACACAGATCAACAATGACAAATCCAATTAACTTCTGAATACGGCTCCCTAGAGCCTTCATTATCAGGACAAAAAAAAATGGACTTGAGCTTGTATAGATCTTTTCTAGTCTTCTGACTACTCCAACAGGAGGTCACACCTACAAGTTCACACCCTGATGGCAGAGGTTTCTATGTTAAGTGACCTTCAGTATTAACGAGGCACAGTGGTACACATTCCCAAGGACACATCGGACATGTAGCAGCAGGAGCTGGGGATTGAACCCTCAACCTTCCTGTTGAGTGACGACTGACTTACCAACTGAGCCACAGCCGACGCCCCAGAAAATGAGACCTAGGGCGCACTCACACTACGCTGCAGTAGACCACTGATTCTACCAACTGAGCAACAACATGCAAACAAACTCTGAATGCCCACCAGGCGCCTGCCATACAACCCTCTCCGTGTGTAAATCAAGATGGCAAGATGGTGTAAAGGTAAAGACTGTGTGTAAACATTTCCTTCTCTTAATTTCAGCCGTGGAGGATTATTTCTTTCTTTTCAACGGTCACATAATCATGTCTCTTGTTGACCTTTGGCTGCTACTGATTGGACGCTACCGTCAAGAAAAACAAGAGAAGAGGAAATCAGAGCATGTGATTGGTCAACAGGAAGAATGGAGCTTATTGTAATTTCCTGTGAGGGTCACAATGGTGGTTTATTTATCATGATAGATTTACTCTATATTGGCTCCAAATAAACACGGCTGGGTTAAAAACGTCCTGGAAGGGATTTAATTGCCTGGAGCCCTCCATAGACCAGCAAAAGGGTTAGCTTACGATCACAATAGCCCCCATAAAGATCTGTCGTACGGTTCCAGAGATATTAAAAACAATACAGATGGCACCCCAATGGACTCCCCGGGGTTTTAAATGAAACAGCAGGCGTAGAGCTGCAGAGAACACGAAACACTTACAGCTTCCAAACTTGAGAGGACACGAGTGGAAGTCCATGGGGAAGTCTTCAAGGTGCATCGGGCACTCAGCTTGAACGGTCAACCTGAAGCATACATACATGAACACACAGAAAGTAATTAAATCCTTACAGGAACACGGATGAATCGAGATTTAAAATGTTTCGTCTCATAATGGAGAGATGTTCACACCTAAACCGCCACTTGTTAAAAATGTAGCATGACTTAAAAGGTGATTTAAGCGTCTACCTCATGGTGTAGAGCAGGGTTCCATCCTCCATGATCCTCAGCAGCTTGTTGGGCATGGTCATGTTATGGGCCACAGATTTCTTGCCGTTATGGAAGAAGGTGTCCGGGGTCCAGATCCTACTGGCCATCAGGTTGTTGAGTGGCAACGTGTTCATCGGCCCCTGGAACTTTAATCGCTCGTCCTTCCAACTCTGACGGAAGAAAACATCCACAGTGTACTCCTGAGAAAGAGAGAGAGAGAGAGAGAGAGAAAGAGCAGTGTTAAATAGATCCCTGTCCCCCTGAGGACAACGTGGGGTTGAATTGTCTTGTCACACCAGTTTCAGGGTTCGTGATCAATGATGTTCTGTATTGTTCACTTTGAAGATCTCAGTAAGCCAGCAGGGGAAATGCCATGACTCTAACACTCACATGGATCGTGCTTATCCTTGGTCTTTAAAGGAAGAATGTGCAACTTTTTGATAAAGTAGATGTCGCCCTTGAGCACCAGCATTAAACCAAAAACAAACGGCTGTTTGGCGACACCTCCGCTATTCTGAATCCTTCGCTATCCTCCAGAGACACACCTCCAACCCCTCTACACTCGCGTTCACACAAAGGAGTTATCAATTGAAACGCACCATAATTAAGCATTAAGCGCTAAGTGTAAGCAGCAGACAAAATTGTCCTTATCTCGAGCTGCATTGTTGTGTTAGCAGGCTAATGTTAGCGCTCTTTAGTTAGCTCGTAGATTCACACTGCATGTAAATTTACACAGAACGACTGATGAAACCCTTAAAAATAATCAGTGAGTACAGTATGTTATTCTTCTTTTCTCTATAGTTCCTCAATTAAACAGCCTTAACACGCAAGGGGATCAGTGGGCCGGCCGTCCTGTCCATGTAAACACGACTCTGACAACATCACAACGAGCGGGACTCGAGCTTCTGACTCACTGTAGACAGTCATGACTCAGAGAGTTATTTACAGATTCCTGCTGTATTTATGTGTAAAATGTTGCACATTCTGCCTTTAAGACTTTATTTTTTTCAAATGAAGTGCTTGGTAGTTAATTAAACAGTTTCTTAAAGCTCCTCCTCTACAGGTTTCTAACCAATCAGCAACCTCCAGTGTTGAAATTGAAGCCAATAAGAAAGTTCAAAAACGCTGAACTTTTTGTCATCTATTTCTACTTTGAGTGAACTGATCCTTTAGAGCACAGTTCATCTCGAGTGACGCTTGAACAGAGCTGTGTCATCCCTCTCTCATGAATAATACCATCTCTATTAATACTTATAGAGATGTGTGTGTGTGTGTGTGTGTGTGTGGGGGGGGGGTACACCGCTTCCTAAATCAGGCGCGTCCCCTTGTCTTGTTGGCTCCACTTTTTTCTTTTTTTGGGTGAATGCAGCCCGGCCTATAGTTCGGCACCTGGCCGGGTTCAGACCTGACTGTCAGTCTCAGATCCAGCTGCTCCCGGAGGCAGAATGTCAGACAAGGTTTACATCACAGAGGTCGTGAGTCCGTGCGGCCGAGCGGAAACATCTTTCTCTCACTCTGCCTTTCTCATTACTGTTCAGCAAAACTAGAAATCATATTACGACATGGCACCACGTTGAGTTCTGTCCTTTAGTCAGCAAACAAGTTCATAATCCTCGCTACTGCCAGAGGTTTTTTGTTCCCTAATTGTCGTTGTTGTTCATGAGAGAGAGAGCTATTAGGACATTTTGAAGGTGTTTGCTTAAAGCTGTGCATTAGAGATGAAAGAAATACACACAGATCTGACTCCAGCTCCTCCCGTCTGTGGGAGTTTACAAAGGAAACATTTAGGAAAATCAGCAATGCTCCTTCATGAATTCACATGTACAGTGCGATCACTCAGGTCCTGATTGACAATCGGGCGGTATGAGCACATTAATCGTGACCTTTGGCCGCGTGTTGTTAACGTGGGACATGACATTTCACCACAATATTTGACGATTGTACAGTGTATTCCTGTACCCTTAGGGTGTCACGTCTCAGGGCTAGTGCTATAAGTCCCTTTTGTTTCCCCTGTGTTTTATATGTATAAAGGTTTATATATACAACAAAAAAACAACCGTTCACAGTCACAGTCACACCTACAGGCAATTAAGAGTCACCAATTAGCTCGTCTTTGAAAGTTAATTGGAAGCTGACGTATACTGAGAGAACCCAAGTATGTACGGGAAGAACATGCTCACAGAAGGGCGTGTGTGGTCCAACATACAAAATAAGCAGGTGTATCAGATTTTTTTTTTCTCTCACAGTGTTTACCTGAGCAACACAGACGGGACATAATAATCCAGCAATAAGAAAACCTTCACAGACACGGAGGCAGCAGCAGCAGCAGCAGCAGCAGCAGGGGGCCATTCAATCTATCAGGCAAAGGGAAGAAGAGGTGTGTGTGTGTGTGTGTGTGTGAGACTGTGTGTGCATGTGTGTGTTCCTGTGTGGGAGATGGGTGTGTGTGCGTGCCTATCAGAGCCGAGCTATCAAAGGCAGAGAAAAAAGACACTGTGGTGGAGTGAAATTATCTGCTGCAAGTTTGATGGAGACATGGCATGAATAAAACATGAGAGCGTCTCTCTCTCTTTTCTCTTTCTTTTGAAGGTGCTGTCTCGATCACGACCACTTCCATCCCTCTGCCCCTCGCTTCTGTGCCACTTAAATATTTGAGGGAAGAGGAAGGGCGGAGTGAGGAGGGGGCGGCTGGGTGGTGGCTCGGATTGTGATGGAAAAACTGAGGAAAGCTTTTAAGGTAAAAAGCAGAGGGTGTGTGTGTGTGTGTGTGTGTGTGTGTGTGTGTGTGTGTGTGTGTGTGTGTGTGTGTGTGTGTGTGTGTGTGTGTGTGTGTGTGTGTGTGTGTGTGTGTGTGTGTGTGTGTGTGTGTGTGTATAAAACTGTTTAAACCATTTAAACATGGTTCAAACATCTGGATCAACCTCAGATTTGGATTTTTCTTTTATACTCTCTGCCTTTTTAAGATTCAAATAGTAGCTATTGCACACTTTTACATACATTTAAGATATTGTGTATTTCAAGATATAAGAAAATGGTTTTAATTTGAGGGCTGTAAACATTATTAACACTGTGCTACATTTTAAAATGTAGTAAAAAAATATATTATATTATTATTATAAAAATATTACAAAATGAGGTGCCTGTAATCAATGATGCTAAAGGTGGTAAAGTTGTTATCTACACGTACACATGACGGCTGACTCGCGTCCACCGCAGTGGTCAAAAATATGTGTGATGCAGTATACAGATGGCCAGTAGGGGCAGTGTTGAGGCAGGAGGATGGAGTGGTGATGTGACAGAGATGTGACTCACACATTTTGTGGACAAACTCATAAATCAAGTCCACAATCATCCGCGTCTGAAAGATGGGTCACTGAAACGGAACTGTGAAAAAAACACGCCTGTTCAAAATATCTGGGACGGATAAGTTCTGTCTTAGAAGTCGATGTCGAGACCTTGTCAAACTGATGGAAACAAGATCGCTGTTACAGTGAGCCTGTTAACTGGCGTCTGAAAAGCAGAGTGCTGCATTTGTAGTTTTTCTTTAAATACATATCTGACTGGGGGGGGGAGGGGGGGCAAAGTCCTGCAAGCGGGTGGCCCAGGTTTGAATCCATCCTGTGACACCTTTCCTGCATGTCGTTCCATGGTTTCTGACTCTATCCACTTTCTTTTCTCAAAAATAAAGGCACAAAATGGATCTTAAATGAATCTTAAAATACATATCTTTCGAGTATGTTGACAACATATTGAAAAACTACATTAAGAGGCATTAAGAGGACACTCTCCTTTCTCAAAAGCTGCTGTAACTACAACAACCTAAGGATGCATTCAGCTGGACGTCACCAGTTACCATGGTCACAATAAACTATACTTCAGGACCGTTACCCCCATGCACAGAGGAAATGAGCTGTACTGACGGTGTGTTCTGGCCTGAGCTGATCTGATGTTATTTTTGATTATTGTTATTTATTACATGAGTTCTGAACTCAGAATTACCATCATAGTAACATCCTCGAGTGTCGCCATGTTTGTGGTTTACCCCCACACATCAGGTTGGCCTGAGCTCTCTGGTGTGTCTGAAATCATAAAAAATAATTTACAACTCTATCCTGGCTTTCTTTAGAGTTCAAGAGGACTATACGGTGAGCTCATTGGACAAAATGAAAACCTTCCCTTAATTAATCATTGATGTTTCTAGCGGAGTGCATGATGGTATGAAGTGCTGGGTTATAGACCACTGGTTGTACATTTCTCTTCATGATGTCGTGTGTGATATTGCAAGAAGAGCAGGAATAATAATCCTCAGTGACATCACACAGCAGTGAAAGACAGCGGACCTACAATAGATGAGAGTTTACAGAGAGCAGTGACTGATTGGTGCTGGTGTCAGGCGGGTAGCTGTGATTGACACGTCGCTGCAGCCATATTAAAACATGCAGGACTATAACATGCAGCATCCAATCCCAAATCTTCATTAGACTCAGAATAATAGGCTGTCACGACGGACGGCCACTATATGATTATGAATATGTTGAATATGTAACACATCGAATCAGAGCAGCATGGCGCTGAATGATGGGATCTCATTTTTAATAACACAGTCTGACCCCCTGCCTTGTCATCACTCTCCTGGTTGGAGTGGCTCGGTTACCAATGGCAACAGGACAAGCAGCGCTGACAGGTCTCTGTCTGGGAGATTTTATCTGCTGGATGTGAGTAATTACATCTGAGCCGACCCAGCAAAGGAAACCCGGAGATTTTTAAAAAGCACCATGGGTTTGCTTTTTAACGGTCAAATCTTCAGAGACAAAAAGGTTTTCACAGTCTGCTTCTTCTTAATGTGGTCGATTTTAATTGTTTGGTAGTCATGAGAACAAGTATGCCATTGATTTTGTGTCTACACACTTTGACTAAATTAACCATATAAAAAAGACCGTTCACATGCATAGGCCTGTTTAGTTGATTTAAAACGGCCAGGACCTCGTTCTTTCTTGTAACATGAGACTAAAGTCTCTCATGTCATCATGTTGTTAGGACACAATTAGGGAAATAACATCATATCACAGTCTCAGAAACGGGATAATCCCTTATCCCTGGTTTAGAAAAATCCAATTTTGATACCTGGAGAACTCAGGAAGAAAACAGAATACTGTGGCATTTATATTTATCTTACCCCGGTTTCTCAGAGCTGCTGACTTCCTGCGCAGAATCTGCTTCATCGAAGTGACAAAACAAACATGGCGGCGGCAACAAGAGTGTCTTACTTCTAGAGCGAGTAATCAAAGAAGTAAATATAAATGGAAGTTTTAGATGACAGAGAGAGAATCAAAATGCCTCTTCATGTCTGTAGTGAACAGGCTACAGGGCGCCAGTTTCCCAACATGAATGTTGGAGTAACTCAGGTCACGTTGGACAATACTCGAGAAACATGACTCACTGACATCCAACTGAACCTTTGGCCTCAGTGACTGATTAGTGTTTTTTTTTTTTAAAACCTCTCTTAAAATATCCCCATGCTTTTGAGTATCAGTTTGATAGTTTGTTCCAACGAGCTCAATCCTCCTGATACATCCTCTCGTTTAGAGCTCTTAATATTTTCATCAGTCTGTGTCTCAGAGCCTCCAACGTTTCTCAGGCTGTCAGGCTGCTTCCCGTTCACACCTGAAGCAAAAAGCCTTTAAGCCTTTTCCAAACTAAGTGATACATGTTTGAAACGGCACATTTGTTTTGACAGCTTAGAGTGTGCAGTGGAGGCTTTCAGGGGACCTGAAGGCACTTTCACTTCAAATGTGTGTGTGTGTTTTTGTGTGTGTATGTGTGTGTGTGTGGTCTCAGCTCTTGAGAGGATGTTGCACTTTAAGGTGAGGTGTGAGACTTACCATATCTGTGTCGGACACCGGGCCGAAACTGGTCACATAGATGTCGGTCTTAACCTCCGTCACTCGGTCTGTGAAGACAAAGAACAACATTTGTTGCAGAAAAAAAAACACACAACCTCTGGAAGTCAGAGGAGACGAATGAGTTTAGGAAGCTGACGAAACAAAGAGCTAGAAATCTATTCCTCAAACTCTGTTGTAAACTTTGTTACTTCTGAAGTGCTTCAGTGTTGACATCAAGATTCACGTACCCCAAAACCCAAATTCTAAAAGGTCGGGTCATTGTTTAAAAAAGTGTAATCAGAAAAACATGTCAAACACTGAAACTGAGAAAATGTTATCTGTTTTTGGAAAGAGAGTGT